GGTTTAAAAGATGCGTTACCAGAATTTTATGTGTGGTTTTGTAAGTATGAGACTTTACACAATGTTAACTTGTTCGCTAGTTAACCAACGGTCATTAAGTGGCCAAGTGTATCTGACTCGTGTCTGGCCCTAAAAAATGCAGAAATCTGTTGTTACTTTGAGAGACTCCGTCAGCGATTGGATATCATTTTACACTGCCATGTATCGTTTCAGTTTATTATATCCTATCTAAATAAACCTCTCTTTAATAGTATCAGCAAGTACCGTGTTTATCAGCAGTGCAATTTCTCTTACCAAGAAGTGTGTTGCGGGTTTTACAACTCGCTCGGCCGAATTAACGGGAGGTACCAAGCCTTTTCTCTTTTTATTCTTTTTCTCGAGAGCTATTGCAGCTTCGACTACCACAACACTTCAGATCTCTTTCTTTTTTAGCGAGGAGTAGCAACGTATTAAATACAAAAATCACAGACATGTTTAAGTGTAGCTAGCTGACCGTGGGATTTTCCATAGTGTATCCGTTCATTTTGCAAAGGGGGAAATTGGGTGGCTCGCTCCGAAGTACTTGTCGAGCACCAAGGAACCAATTAAACGCCAATGATCGAGCTGCGCACAAGAATCGCGCGCACAAACAGGATCTTCAGTGTGGGCAAAACCCAAGGTCAGTTTTACCAACCCAAACATGACCACCTATGAAACAAATTATTCTCAACCATAACAAACGATTAAGATGTCTAACACAGTAATAAGGAAATCCGCGAACCGAGCCAAGTTCGAGCACACACTAAAAATAAAAGATCAAAACTATAAATCTACCAAACAACACGTAGGCGCAAAAGGCAAGGCGTAACAAAACAAAAAGCTTAACTGAAAAAGTCTCAAAAATAACAACTTCCAATTTTACCTCATAACAAGTGTCAAAAGATACCCAATCACCAGATTTATTGGGTTTCAGTTACACAGAAACTAGAGCCACAGGCATCCCAGAGGTCGCAAGGGCTGATCTGATTTATGACGTGTGAAATGTGAACTGCTGGAGTCTTTAAGGTACTATAAATTTAGGTTTTCAACTTTTAAGGCTTTACTGACGTTACCTTTTTCGAATTTTTAAAATATATTACTGCGTTTTAAATTCCTTTTCAGTGCAGGTTACAATCTATGCTTAAGCTTCAGTAAACGTTAACTAGAATTCATTACACTGCATTAGTCGTAACGATAAAGTAAATGCACGCAGTCGAAGACTCTCCTTCATTTTGTCATTAGTTTGATTAGCCATGAAGACATGCTGCGTTTTACTGGTTGAAAACTTCAGGCTTGTTGTACAGCATGCTCACGTGTGATCAGCGGGGTACCCACAACAGGTCCATCTGTCTTGTATTTCCACACCAACTGTCCGTCATCAGCTCTCAGAGCATACAGGTAAGTGTCTATACCTCCTATGAACAACAGTCCGCTCTTATCCAGGCGCGGTGACGACCAAATAGCAGAATCCGTCTTAAAACTCCACACGAGTGAGCCATCAGTTTGACGAAGAGCTAAAACCTCACCTTCACCCGAGCCAATGTAGACATTTCCATTAGGAGCGACAAATGGTGACGAGAATAGTTCACCCTTTCCTGATTCGATAAATAAAGAAACAGATATATAGTTTAATAAAATGCATTTAAATTGTATTGCCAATCATCTCCTTCATGTATGGTAGCAAAGACGTCCTCTTTCCTATCCTGAATAAAATCAACCAAAAAATTCAAACAGCAACAGAGTGTAAAACAGAATTTACTCCGACATTTACTACAAAGCCTTTGTCACGTCACTGTAACTCGAGTTTGATGTCAAATTCTAAAAAGTAAAACTGCCATGACAAAGCTAGCATTGTACCGGCTCCTTAAAATCTGGAACTGAAAAGACTGCATCTCATGCAGATGAACTACATTTAAAGCATAATCTTAGCGTAGCCTTTCAAGACATGAACTCGGAAGAGGAAGGGGACTCTTCTTTGTCACTCCTCTTAAACAAACAGTCTGTTTCTCTGATCCACTCACTTGTTCCGTGAGCATAGCACACGGAGAATTCAAACTGCACTATTTTGCTGAGCCCCGATAGCAGAGATAGAAAATATTGAAAACAAACCTTCTCTAATCCATTTGAGTTTTCCAGTAGCGGAATCTACCGCATAAATGTTTCCCTCCGTGGATCCAACAAAGAGAGTCCCGTTCAGTTTACTGACAACAGGTGACGATTGAAATGCGGAGTCGGCCTCAAACACCCAGAGCACGTGACCATTCCCAGTGTTAAACGCGTAACAGTTTGCATCGTACGAACAGAAAAATACAGCGTTGTTGTCATGACTAACGGAAGGGGATGAGAAAACGGGTTCAGCTGTTTTGTACTTCCAAATGATTTCGCCAGTTTCACCGTCAAGAGAGAACACATTTGCCCAGTCTTCAGCCATAGACCCGACGAACACAGCTTTTCCGCCTTCGAGAAGAGCAGGAGATGACCAGATTTCGGCCGCTAGATCCTTCTTCCATTTCAGAGAGCCGTCTGGATTAAGGGCATAAAAATACCCATCCAGACACCCGAAATATAGACTGCCGTCCGCACCAACTCGGGTTGAGGACGTAACTGCCCCCTCTGTCGAAAACTTCCACATAAGGTTACCGTTGACAGCACTTAGCGCCCGAAGTGATTTGTCGTCAGTCCCGCAGTAAACGACACTCTCGTCTGAGTTGAACTCGCATTTTGATCCTCCTTCATCAGCAGTTCCGTATTTCCATTTCATCTTTCCTGAGGCGGAGTCGAAAGCGTAAATCCAATGATCATCAGAACTTAGATATAAAGTGGAATCCTTTGTATCGACCTCTTCTATTAAAACCAATTTCTCACGAATGTCTTCACTTTTCTTTCGAGCGCTTTCGTCCGCGGTCTTTTCCTCTTCCCTCGTCTCTTGATCGGAAACACTGGGCTTTGATCGGGAATCGAAGGGGGGACCGTCGTCGGGCGCGATTATCTTACCATCAAGACTCTCGAGGTACTCCCGGTCGTCTTCGTTAAGCATTACGTGCGTTAACTGAAAATTTGTTTTAATATGGTTCGGGCTCCGTGAGCGGGGAATCACAATAACATCCTTCTCTAGAGACCATTTGAGAACCAATTGAGGAATAGACGCATCGAACTTGGTGGCGATCTTCCGAAGGCCTTGGTCAGATAGAACTGGATTTACAGGCAAGCCCTCTCTTTTCCATGAGTCACCTAACGGGCTGTGATTGAAGACAAAAAAAAAGCTACCGGTAATTAAAACATCTCACGAAACTAAGAGTTTTAGGGTTAGAGTTAGCCCCAAAATGTCTAGCAGCTTTGGGTAGAGAGTAGAGATTAATAATTACACCGTAAAGAGTTTTTAGGCTGACGTTTTGAGCGTTAGCCCTTCGCCGGTCATGGCGAATGGCTCGTTGACATTTCTTTACAAAACAATGAAAATAAATATCAGTTTTTGTTTACTTGATTGTTTGCGGTTTGTTTTGAGCGAGTGCGTGTGTGTTTAAGAGTATTTTATGGTTCTTGCAACATTTACGGTGGTCTCCCTCATAGCCCTTCTAATTTGTGTCACCCAAAACTATGGTGTCACACAACGATCCTACAGTGTTGCACGTTATCCAAAAGAACGACTGCTGATGAAGACTAATTTTCTAAAGGTGACGCTCGCAAGGTAAGGTGCACTTCTTGTTAAGCCACGGATCATAATAATTCTAATTATTTATTACCTATGACCCATGTACCGAATCCCATTTTGCTCACAGAATTCTCGGGTTGCGCGATCTTGGTTAAACGGATCAAAGAAGTTCTGTACAATTGATGGGCGAACTTTGGCGATCTCAAGTAAACGCTTTAGGTCTTCAACTTCGAAGTTACTAACACCAATACTTCGAATTTTCCCTGCAAAGAAAAACAAAAGATTTCCTTTAGTTTGAATTATATAGGCTCAAATTTGCATTGGAAGGAGTTTAGATTCTATATCTTTATGTTCATTCCATCAGCGACAAAAATAGATATCATAAAGTCACATGGTGTGATAGAAAGTAAAGCAACTTACCTTTGTTTACAAGCGATTCCAGCGCTTTCCAAGAGTCTTCCCATGTTCCCTTGGGCTCTCCCTGTTGACAAATCAAGTGGGCACCAGGTCCCTCGTCACAGTCCATTGAGTGAATCAACATGAGATCAATGTAATCAACCTAAAGAAATATACAAAAACAAACAACTTACTGACTGTGGCCATGCTGCAACAAAAAACTTTGCATACATAAAAAAAGCAAACATAACAGTTATTAGCATCCAATTTCTCCACAAAATATCACCCCTGGATAAAACAATAAGGTCAGGAGAGTAAAGGAAGTGACCACCAACAAATGAAGCTCTTGATTCTTAAACAAATTCTCTTTTTCAGTACCAAAGGAAATGTAAGGGAGGAGTACGGAAACTACATATGGATACTTAAAAAATGTCCACCCATTTTTTTCTTCTGATTGATCTCAGGCGACATAGACATTATTCTTTGTTTTGCTCAAGAACATTTCATGCTAAACAGTAAAAGGGCTGAGATCTGCAGCCCTTTGCATACCTTAAGCTTTGTAAGTGACTCTTCCACAGACTTAAGAGTTTCTTCAAAACCAAGAAAACGTGGATGAACTTTGGAGACAATGAAAACCTCTTCCCTTGGTACTCCACTTTCTTTTACAGCCTCTCCCACCTGTTCCTCGTCGTATGCTTGGGCAGAATCAATCATTCTGATGAAGAAAACAAACATCACATACTGAGTGGGATATGGAGAGTCCTCATGGTTCACCCATTGGAGAGATCCTTTTCTTAAGCCCAAGCTAGAATAATCGCTCAGTATTGCAATCATGGGCAGCAAACTTTATTTCCACTGGTGTTTTTTCCACCATAGAAAGTAAAGGTCATGTCTTACCAATTCCCCACTGGTCTGTAACTTCCGATGCTCATTCCTAGTTAGAGTGGCTCTAAATTACTGGACTACATCTACTCCTCCTAGATGGGAGTTGAGCCCTTTAGCAGTTCCCATTGGTATGTCAGGCTTCAATGAAGCTTTGCAGGAGCCTTTTATTATTATTGCAAACTTTTTGAATCACGTATTTCTAAATCATTTGGCAAGAATTAAGCTAGAATTTAGAATTAATAAATTTATAGAAATTATTAAGCTTCACCGACTGGCAGGGACACCACAACAGCTTGCGCCAATTACTGCGGGCCCAGTAAACCCACCCGTCCCACCCCAGGGGAGGACATCCATCACACGGTAATCTCGTGCGTGGGAAATTAACATCTCCTGCCCCTAACCCTACAGGAGACGGGACCTCCATTTATTCGTCCCTATCTGAGAAGACTAGAATATCTAACCATTAATTTTCTTGATGTAACAGAAAGGTTGCAAATTCTTCTCAATTATTTTAAGACCCTGAGTGTTGGTCCGGCCGGGGCTCGAACCCTCAACCTCCCGCACAACAGTCCAGTGCTCTATCCATTGAGCTAACCAAGAGGCAGAAGCTAGCCTTATCATTTCTGACTGTTGCAACTGAGATGAAACATCACTTTTAAAATAGAGCAAATTATTATCTGCTAAACATAAACTTTTACATGTTGCTTTTTCCCCAAAAAAATGTATGACAATTATCAAATATCATAGTTTAACTTGTTGTAGAGCACATTTACATTCCTTAATACCTAATTACAGAGTGATAACATTTTTGAACTGAGTACCTGTATCCTGAAGTCAAAGCTACTAAAACAGAATCCTTGGTGTCTTTAAATAAACCTGCAGTACCAAACCCTACTTTGGGTACTGAAAATAGAATTTACATGTGTATCAAATTAATTTACAATCTAGATGAGTTTATTAGTAAAGGAAAATAATTTTTCTCGACTTACATAATCATGATAAATTCACTGTTTATTATTTGTTTTAACATCAATTCTATTTCAATTGATAGAATAAGGTCTTGTGTATTGTAGCTCAAAATAAGTTTGAAATTTTTTAAACTACCTGAGTTTGTTTCAGCTTCTGATTATAAAATTATTTAAAACTGGTTTATCACATTTTTAAAGACTCAGTGACAAATACCACACCAGAGGAAAACTTGAATGTCCATAAATGGATAATAAACTCTTCATAAATCTATCACATAAAACAGCTTCCTTACTTTTATATCCACTAGCCAATGTAATGAATTGTTCCTCTGCAATGATTTCTCTTGGTGTGTCCCAAGCATCAGAGCTTGGATGGAAAGCCTTTGTGATTGGTTTGTTTTGTGCTTCACATTTGATTGTTTCTGGGTAAGTCTCTACAAGTTTGTTAAAGGCTTTTGTTGCAAGTACCATGTCTTCAAACACATTTCGCTGAAAGCAAGAATAGCCAGTAAAAATGAAATGCATCAGTGAAAACGCAATGTATAATGGACTGTGCAGTCTCGGATCCTCTAAGTAAGGTAAGTCCATGAAACCTTCAGGTTGATAACTTTTCAAAATGAGGAGAGGACTGAGCTAATCCCATTTGGTTGGGTTTAAAAAGTATGCTCTTCATATCACAAAGTGGTCATATCAACAGGTCC